ACTATAAACTATATGTCAACTACAAACTTTTGTAGCCTCAAAAAGCAGACACTACAAACTTTTGTAGTCTGAAAAGTGGACACTACAAACTTTTCTAATGAAAAGGCACACACTACAAACTTTTGTAGTCTAAAAAAGCGGACACTATAAACTTTTCTAATGAAAAAGCGGACACTACAAAACCTTTTAATGTAACCCTAATTTTGTAGTCTAAGTCCAAGCTTTTGTAGTCTAAGTCTAACTTTTGTAGTCTTTTGTAGTCTATCAGTAAACTTTGTAGCCTATGTCCAACTTTTTTGTAGTCTATCAGTAAACTTGGTAGTCTATATCTGACTCTTGTAGTCTGTCAGTGTTGATTGCTCTTTTAGGGAATGCACCTTCCTTTTTTGGTCAATTTTCCCACAATATGATATTTGTTGCCCTTTCATCTAGCTTTCTAAATGTGTTGTAATCATGTTATTTGGTTTTGTTTTCATGAAGAAAAATGCAAAAAAACCAAAAAAAACACGACACTTTTGGAATTCCTTTACCTCATATCTCCACAACAGGAGCACTTCAGAACATAATTCAACCAGATTCGGGAAGCTACAGTGCAGGGGTACAACTTTCGCTTTTTGACTATTTTTGGTAATTGGTCATGTGACCACCCTCCCAACAACCCATGTGATACATATCATCATTATTATATAGTTTTCGGTAATGAAAGTGCCAAAGGGCCTAATGAAATATCCTAATGAAAAATCTAAGAAATAGTAATGAAAGTGCCAGGGAGCCTAATGAGAAGTGATGAAATCGTCAAGGTGCTCAATGAAATATCCTAAAAGAAATGGTAATGAAAGGGCCAGATGCCCCAATGAAATCTCCCAATGAAAAATCTAATGAAATGGTCAAGGAGTGTAATGAAATATCCTAATGAAAGTGCCAAGAAGCATTCTAATGAAAATTCAATGAAATGGTAATGAAAGGGTCAAGGAGCTGAATGAAATATCCCAATGAAAATTCCAAGAAAATCTAATGAAAGTGCCAAGGAGCCGAATGAAATATCCTAATGAGAAATATAACAAATCATAATGAAAAAGCGCAGGAGCCTAATGAAATATCCTAATGAAAATTCTATGAAATGGTAATGAAAAAGCAAAGGAGCCTAATGAAATATCCTAATGAGAATTCTAAGAAATGGTAATGAAAAAGCGCAGGAGCCTAATGAAATATCCTAATGAAAATTCTAAGAAATGATAATGAAAAAGCGCAGGAGCCTAATGAAATATCCTAATGAAAATTCTAAGAAATGGTAATGAAAAAGCGCAGGAGCCTAATGAAATATCCTAATGAAAATTCTATGAAATGGTAATGAAAAAGCGCAGGAGCCTAATGAAATATCCTAATGAAAATTCTATGAAATGGTAATGAAAAAGCACAGGAGCCTAATGAAATATCCTAATGAAAATTCTAAGAAATGATAATGAAAAAGCGCAGGAGCCTAATGAAATATCCTAATGAGAATTCTAAGAAATGATAATGAAAAAGCGCAGGAGCCTAATGAAATATCCTAATGAAAATTCTTAGAAATGGTAATGAAAAGGCGCAGGAGCCTAATGAAATATCCTAATAAAAATTCTATGAAATGGTAATGAAAAAGTGAAGCAGCCTAATGAAATATCCTAATGAAAAGTCTCAGAAATGATAATGAAAGGGCCAAAGAGCCTAATGAAATATCCCCATGATATCTCATTATCCTTGTCTATAACTTATGAAAGATTCCAGTGATAAATGGAATGAAATAGATGGGCAATCCTAGTGAGATGCCCTTCATAAAACCTGTGGCATTATACACAATGGCTCTTGGACAGTTGTCATAGATTAACCATAAAAGTGGTAGCCACCAGTCATAAAGGTCCGCCTGCCCACGCCCTCTCCCGCCCAACCATCAACCCCCAAACGTGCTCCTGTGGCTGAGCCTTTGATCACCCAAGAATCCCCCAGGGCCAGAACTACGCACGGCAGTGTGGCAGAGCCCCAGGCCACACAAGTGACGGCCAACGACAAGCCCATTTACTACATCCCCCACCCAGACGAGTTCATTGCGCGGAGGGCATCGTTCCCTCACACCACCTACGTGATTACCAAGGGGGAAGAAGTAGGGCTTTTCTCGGCATGGTACGTACCCCGTACAACCCACTACCATGCCTCTGACACGTTGTACCAGGCACGACGCAGCCATTCGAGTTCAAAACATTCCGGCCCCAAAGGGCCGCATCCAATATATTTTGCAAAGCTTCCCCACCTTTGAAGCAGCCTTCGATGTGTACGCCCATGCCTACAACATGCGTACCCTTGAGCCCATCCCCATTTCTGGGGGCCGCTTCGATGTTCCCATTAATAGGCTTTTTTTACGACCAGCCTAATTCAGACAGTGAGTGGGACTCTGATTCTGCACGGGCAGATCAAGACAATTGCGAGGGCTGGGTTTTTGCGGACTCTGACGAAGAAATCCAAGTTCACACAAGTCGCGCAGGCACTTGGTAGGGACTTGTTCAACAGGCTCAGCTGATCTTGCTCATCAAAAATCGTAGATTCAATGATGCGGCCTTGCAGTTGGACCGGCTGTCTTTCTATTGTGCTTGTCCCTGCCTGAATCTACTCCAATGTGACTGCCCCTGTTTGAATTTGCTAGATACCCATCCTCTACTCAATAAATCTTTTTTTGGTGTACTTCATCTGAACTGCCAAGTAATCAGATCCTGCACTACTCCGCCACCGAAAATTGAACATGTTTCAGCCAAGTATCAACACACTGCCACCACCCCAACTGCTCGCCGTGCTAGACTATACCAAGTGCAGAAACCTTTTATTCACTATCGGTTGAGTTTCCAGATTCAAGGCTTTCGCTAGCTCCATCCATGGCAGCCAGTATTGGGGCGAGTTCCTTTGCCGAAACACGCAGCTTCTCGGCGTTTCTAAAACCTTTCAGAACAATTCAAATAAAATTTGTCTAACTTACTTAGGATCTCACTGCCATGCCG